GTGTCAAACTCGTGACCCATGGACCGGATGTGTCACATGCTAGCCACGCCTACCCCCATTTTAGCGAAGGGGGAAAAAGTCGTGATACATCATGTGATGACAACGTGACACCGCAAGTTTGACACCCCTGAGATAGCCTGTCAGGAAAATACTGCAATCCACTTGATTATAATCATAGGAGTTGTAAGTTAAAACAACCCTGTAATTGTTTGGGGCTAGACTTAGTTCCCCAAATCAACCTGAGCTAGGATGAAAGAATGATCAGAGATTAAAAGTCCTTCTAACATCAAAGATAGAGAAATTATGCCAATTTGGTCTAGTGGAGACTGTGAATTGAAGTTCCTGTCTTAGCCATGAAAGCCAGCTGGGTGGTTTTGGGCTGGTCACTCTCTCAGCCCAACTCATCTCACAGGGTGGTTGTTGTAGGGAAAATAGGAGAAAGGTATGTTGTATATGTTCGCCACCTTATTTGTAAAAAGAATACAGGCAGGAAACATATAAACAAACAAACAAATATTATAGAGAGATCCCACTAAAAATAACTTCTCTAAGCATCTTTAATCTTTCTCCTTCAGTTACAGTTCTGGGTAATCTTCCTGCTGAACATGCTGTGATGGTATTGTATATAAGAAACCCGCCTCACTTTTTTTTTTTCTTGTCCAAGGTCAAAAAAGGAAAATACAGCAGGTAATAGTCTCATGGACTATCTTGTAGTGTCTGTTCCCTGATTGATCATTACAATTTATGCACTGCTGACACGTAAGGAGGAATAGTGGCTTATTCAATTGACCATTTTGTGAGAATGTGGCATGGAAGGGATACTCTGTCCTATGTGAACGTTCAGAGAGCTGAAGATACATTTCTCAATGTTGTCATAATATTTCAGAATTTACCCACAATATTAATTTTGGATTTGGGGTTAGTTAATGAGTGCTGCTAAGTTAATTTCTGCATTACTTTTGATACTGGGAATTGCATGGATAGGAGTAAAGAATTGGAGACAGAGAGAAAGGGGAAAGTTGAATCACTGCTTCCATCCATAAATAATCCGTTGGTGTGGTCAGGGCTGATAAGGATTAAATCTTTGAGAACTTCCTTGCACTTACAGTATATGGTACTTTTTACCTTGGAATCCTAATGCATGCAACAGTAAAACTACAATTTATTATATGCTTATCTTATCCATAATTCTTAAAGAGGTTGCTTAACTATTATGTGAGGCAGTTGCTTGTGTTTTTGGTAGGTCTCAATAAACAGAAGAACCGGGGAGATAATGAAGGGGAGATAATGAACACATGTGCAGTTTTATAAACCAGAACCTCAGGCATAACTGTTTGAGCCACTGTACTGCTGCCTTGAAGGGCATACAAAAAAAAAAAAAAAAAAAAGCAAGAAGTAATGTTTTTAAACCACAATAAAATGAACTGTAATTATTTTTAATATAATTCTAGAGGATCCTTTAAGTATTGATTTGCTTGCTGAGAAATATCTCAATAGAAGTTTTTATTGGGGTCTCAATGCAGTATTTTTTTAATTGAAGGTGTTTTTGTTACCCAACCAAAGTTTCTTTTGGAAGATGGTAATTGTATAAATTTGTTTAATTAATTACTCACAGACATATTCTAGATCTTTCTCAGAGTAATGACCAGTGTGAAGACATGTGTGAGGCCTGTTGCTTTTGTTTTTCTATCAACTACTAGGAATTATGTTTTCTCTATGGATTCATGTATTAAATAGCCTCACTGAGCTTGCAGAAACCACAACACATGACTAAATTTTCCTAAAGAAGACTTTTGCTCAATTAAATCTATGTTGAATTTTATAAGTGGTTTGCATTTTCTTGGCTCAGAGTAATAGAATGATAAAATTAGAACACTGTAATTACCTTGTTGTTGTTGTTTTAAAAATCACTCTTTGGAGAGTTTAAATGGAGAAATTAAATGGAGAATGAATAATTTTAATGAAATTAAATGGAGATTAAGTGGAAAGATTAAAATACAAGGTTACTTAATGTACTATTTTTATATGGACTAACATTATTATGCTATTTTTGGTAATGTTGCTAATAAATACATATTTTATTTTCTAATGAAAAATGCCTTCCGTTATTTTAAAGCATTTTATTTTAAATTCCTGATCATTGATTGTATGGTTATTTTGTACTAAGTTAAAATGGAATGTGTGTATCTACATAGAATCATAAGCTCTAATACTTTGAGGCAAGATGTTATTTTGACAGACATATGTTCATCATGTACATTAGGTGACAGTAAACAAGATGAGAATATTGACATCTATATATAGTACTGTAGACAGGTGAAAATACTTGATTTGCATTGCATGATTCATCGCTTCCATTAGTTATTGCCGTAGTGGATCCCTTCTAGTCATTCTAATAATTCTTTGTGCTTGTGTTAGCAAAAACAGAGAAAGCTGCAACCCCAAATTCTTAAAGGACTTACTGATATTTTAGAAAAAAAAAGGATTCTGTTATTGCAACCAAGACAAGGTCTAGATTATAGTATTTTTTGTGCATCAGATGAATCACTGCTCCTTCAAAATGCAATTGCTGCTCAGGAGGAACATGTAATTAATAGAGTGTAAGAGTAGCTGGGCTAAAATAGAAGTACAAGGCACATTCCACTATATAACATTATAAATGCAGGGAAAATGTAGGACGTGTTAGAAAACTTAAGGAATGTTGATAAACTAGAGTATTACATTTGTGACCTCCAAATGCTGCCACGTGCTTTTTAAAAAGCCTATTAAGTATTTGTGAGCATGGAGATGTGCATAGAAACAAAGTTTTCAAAGTATGTGACTGTTCATTTTTACTTCGCTGTACATGCCTATTGGAAATAAATGTCATGCCAAGGCCATCTTTTCTTCCTGAAGAGGTAAGATTATAGCACTATTTTTTCTTTTAGAAAAAACCCTTTGCAGGCAATGATAATGCTAGGTGCAGAGATTTCTTTGCTTTTTTGAGATACTGTCCTAGCTACACTCTCCAGTTGCTTTTTCTTACCCAGTACTTTCAGACAGAATGGATGCATTCAAGTTCCCCTCAATTAAACATTGTCAGCTTGTGGGATCCAGAAAGTGTGTCTTTTCTGTGGTACCGCCACCCTTTGGAACATAATCCACCCCCCCCCCTACCCTTGGATGTACATGGCCACTACTGCTGGGATTCTAGAAAGCCCTTAAAACATGGCTCTGTTCCCAGGCCTAGCATTAATGTGTTTGGTAATGTATATGTGGAGTCTTGTCATATTGATACTATTTATTGTTCTGGTTGTTTTAGTCTGGGCTGCCTTTTTATGTGTTTCAACTGTTTAAATTGTTTCACAAACTTAACTCTCCAACTGCTTTTTGTATTTTGCAAGCCACCCATATTTTAATGGAATGGGTGGTCATAACTCATGTAAGAAATGCAATTGAATTGAATCCTATGAAGGTGGGTTCAGTTATTGTCTATTGGTGTATTTCCATTTTAATTGTTACATTTATTTTTATTCAAGGTCAGAGACACATAGAGCAAATTCCAAATGATAGAATAAAGCTCCCTCTGAGCATCTTTCAGTTCTTTATTGATCTGGAGTTGTTCAGCCTTATCATCACTCCAAATGAAAGTTTTTTTTTTCATTTCTAAAATGCATCCCACACTGCCTAATGGGAGGATGTGCAGCAGAAAATCTGTAGTCGTAGTTGAAATGTTTTTCAGAATGCTCTTGTACTGATTTTTAAAATAAGAATTTAGTAAGAAAGTTCCATGGAATTCTTCAGTACATGGATTGAAAACTGTTGATGATATAATATTGCATATGCAGTAGAATTCCATGGAATTCAATTTCAAGCATATACTTCATGCCTTATAGAAGAGAAATTTAGTTTTACTCAAGACTTGTTGCCTCTGTGCAGAGCAGAATGGAAATCTGAATGGAGGCACAATGTCCTTAATATTGGATATGGTCCCCTATAATTGATCTCTACATATATAATACAATCAGGTAAACAAAGGTAGAATTAATATTTATAGCTGTCTTTGCAATGTCTTCATCCTTTAAGGTATTTCTGCTACATTGCAAGATGTGTCAACTGTCCCAACTTGGTTAGAAAAGAAAGACTCTTGGGTCCATTGTTAATGAAACTATACTTTACTTAAGCCAAGTGGTTACAGAAGAAGCAATGCTGGATCTAAGATTTTCACGCCCAAAGCATATAGTTAACTTTTACCTTGTTCTCACCTTCCCCCCTGATTATCAACAGGTGTCCAATTGAGTGTTAACAATTTCTTTAGGTAACAGTTCCTGTCTTCGCGGGCTGGATGATTCTGCATTCTACAGTGTGACCTTGGAACGGTCGGTGGCTCTCACGGGATGGCACATGCATCGTTTCGATTCCTCTCATGCTACCCTCCCCCTTATCCCACCCCACAGCTTTCTCCTCCCCTTTGAGTATGGCAGGCTGACAGCAGGCAATGCATGGCGTAGCAGGATGGCAGTCCTGACAAGATCAGAGAAAGGACGTATAGTTTTTTCTGTGGCCAAGATATAATTATTTGGTGCAACCTAGTTGCATTTATTGGACAAGGATTTTGCTCAATCCATTTTGGCCAGTTTTTAAATACTTAGTTTCTCTTTTTCATTGTGAGATTAACATTTTTGTTAAAATTTAGTTTTGTATTAAGGAAACTGTCTAGGACAGTTGGCCAAAACATTGAGCTGAATAGCTATAGCTCCATAGTAGCGTACATATATAGTGCACAAATGTCACACATTCCATTCAGAGCACCTTCATTGCTGGCTCTTGGAAAGCTGTTGCCACACTTGATATAGGAAACTGGTCTGATTGCTATTATAAACAGCCTATATTTGATGTAGAGCATCCTCTTTCATCATGCTTCTCCGAGGTAGATACTGAATCCATTTTATGGATTATTACCAGTTTTTAGATAATTTTTGTTTTAAAAATGATGTTTTGTTGTAAATAAACAAGATACATTTTAATTTTTATTTTAATAATTTTAATAATTGATTATGTGCCTTCAAGTTGTTATCAATCCTTATTCACCAGATAGAAACACTTTCTCCATCACAATTTGTCCTTAACTTGATCTTTCAGTTCTTCCAACAGTGCATTGCAATTGAGTCCATCCATCTTGCTCTGGTCACCCTCTTCTCTTTGCTTCCACCTTTTCCAGCATTAGAGCCTTCTCCAGAAATCATTTTAATAAACCCTATATGAAATAGATGTTGACTGATCTTTCAATTTACATACAGATTCAATAAACTTGAATAAAACAAAGCTCAGTAGATTTATAAACATACAGTATTTAATAACTGTATGAGTTCCCACTCGAAACAAAAAAAAGCAAAAGCTGTTAATGCAAGTTTCAATATTTATATTATTTACCGTGTAAGTTTTAAATTGAAACAGGTTGAAAAAATAGAACATTAGGAACTTTGGAAACATGATAGAGTCGATCAAGCTATATAAAAAGAAGAAATCAGGGAAAAGCTGTGGTTCTAGAAGACAACAGAAAGCTTAAGCAGAATAATAAATATATTTAAATGGTACACCTGAAATTGGATCATGTGGTGGAGGCAAGGGAAAGCAATTGTTAATGGGGAGGAATCTGTACTTAGTTATTACACTCTTTCTCCTTCTCCTCGTCCTTTGAAAAATAATACTAAATACTTAGTAAGGCCTAAGAAATAGCAAGCTGGAAGCATGGAAAAAGATTATAGTGTTGCTCTTTAAAAAATATTTTTCAAAGCAGCTGGATATAATCTCTTATCTTTAGCAAAACAAGGGCAACATTGTTTCTGTCTCCCTGTCCAATATACAGACATAGACCACAACACACACACACACACACACACACACACACACATACTCACAACCCATCTTTCTTCAGCAATTAGATTAGAAAACCAAATTCAAAATGAATGCTGCTCTTCCATGCTACTATGTCTGTTCTGCTGCCTTGCTAGAGGAACATAAGTAATAGGCCTGTCTGCTTCTTTCCCACTGTATAGATTTTCATGGCATCTTTCCTGCCACTTTCCTCAGTGTAGCTTCTGTGTCTTGTTTCCTAGGCTGTCAGGAGGGCAATTAAATGGGCCACCCAAGCAATTCAGTCTTTCTGAACAAACTGCTCACTGGCAGTTTTGATCTGAATAACTATTGCTTTTGTGAGGTCAGTGACAAGATACTACAGATGTGACCAAACAATCAGGACTGGGAGATTGTGACCTGTGCCTAGAGTTATTCCTGCAGTTTAGCTAAAAGGTCTGTGAAAGAGATTCTGCCCCATTTGTGGCTTGACCACAACTTTAGGAGGCTGTATTGCTCCTGGCAGTAATGCGTTTTAGCATTTACTTGAAGCTTTCTGCATTAGAGAGTTCTCTGTCAGCTACTGTTACCTAGGAGGGCAGGTTATATAATTTTCAAATACTGTATTTTATCATTCTCAGTTAAGATTAATTGAAAGCAGCAGATAGACATCAAGGTAGAATCAAATACAAAATCTAAGCCTAAAAAAAGAACTAAATATTTTCAGCTAGAGGGTCTGTAGAGGGATTCAGAATTTAGAATAAAATAACTACAGTATATGTTCTTTTTGGCTTTAAGGAATGATTGTTCTAATTTCTTACTAAAAAAAGGGTTTGTAATCTTAGCGCAAATAAAGTTATATATAAGTAGAAATGTGATACTTTTTTCATATTAACACAACTAAAGAAAATAATAGGGAAAGATAGAAGCATATGCCAGAGGTTTATTTTTAAGTATATTTTCATAGTTGAAAAAAGAAAAGAGGGGACAATTTTATGAAACTCAAGATCATTTTAATAATGCTGTCAATGTTAAATATGACATATTATAGATTCACATGCTATATCAAACATGTCAAAGCATAGTATAAGCTAAGTAAAACCATTAAAGGCTAGTGATAAATTTGCACATAAATTAGCAAAAATATAAATAGAAAATAAGGAAGGTATTGCCACACTGCCACTAATAAGAAACAAATTGTGGGGAAAAAATTATCATTGTACATCACAGAAGGGGGGAAAATACAGGTGAAATGTCCAGATTATTAATTTCTGCAATTGGTAGTATGCTCCATAATGTTGTTTATATTCCCTCTTATATGCTGATCTATGATCGTTAGAAAGATTTGGTTGATTGATATATCCTCTTAAGGCCCAGACAGTGATCGTTAAATTTTCAGAGGCATTTTGATTTAGTAGTACTAGTAGAATTCATATTATTTAATAGCTGACCGTTACAGTGTTACATGCTATTTGGAAAACCCCTTTGACAGAAATATTAAATAAAATACCTATACAAAGAATAACTAGAAATCAGATTTGCTACTCTGAGAGTTG